TCTCTCTGCTACTCCTTGTTAAAAGTCCCAACTCAGATGTCAACTTTCTGGATGCTTCTTTTTCCTCAGATAGAGTTAAAGTCTCCTTCTTTGTGTCTCATTGTACTTTCTATTGCTAATTGAGCACTTGTAACAAGGTATTATGTAGTTAGTGGCTTGTCATCTGTCTCTCCTGGGTCTCTTGATCAGCTACTCGGGAAGTGAGTAGTTCCTGGCTAATCTATTAGATTTCTTCTAGTATTTATAAAGTTCCCAGGAAGAGAGTCCCAAGTCCTCAGGGTGCTGTGCTGGTCCCATCTTCTCCAGACTGCCCTAGTCCTAGAACCAAGGCCTTAAAATAAATGGGTGAAGTAGGTTATAATGGTTATTTAGGGGTAAGGGCAGCCAGATGGGCAATGAGATTTACCCACTCTCTCTCTCTCTCTAACCCACCCTTCCCCTACTCCCCAGTTCACTGGAGTGTACAGTCCAGCGGGACTTAGTCGAGTGTCCCTCACCTGTCATTTTAGAGAGCTCCTCTAGTTCTGGTGCGGCAGAGGGCCCCAGGGCAACTGTGTGGATGATGGCCCCGCTCTGTTTCACCTCATTAAAACACGTACTTATAGTGTTGTCTTCCCCGTCAGTCAGTAGCACGATTTCAGATCCATCTGTTGGGTATTTCTTCTTAATCACCTAAAGGCATAATTCAGAGCATGAGTTAATTGACTTGGGGAGTTGGGGGAGGGGGCGGGCAGGGTGTCAAGGTGTTTGTGAAAACTGCATTTATAGAGAGCAGGAAGGGAAATTCCAAAGGAAATAAACAAAAGTGTCTGGGAATGGTCAAAAATCTCTCCATTTTGAAATGATGGCATTTTAAATCAGCAACATTCACGGAATGCAATGTGGTCTTTTGACTACCCTGTTGTGGAGAGGGCTTATAAAGTGGGATGCAGGGCAGTTCCAGGGATGGGCAGCACTGGGGAAGCAGCAAAGAAGGTTTTTCTAGTTTCCTTCCCATGATCTCTCCTTGACAGGCTTTCAGAGGTTCCCAGATGCCTTCAGAAACCACCTTCATTGAATGGGAATAATATTTGGGGTATGTTAAACCCAGGACAGATTTTTGCTTATATGGTATTCAGCAGCCTGACCATATCAACTGGCATTAATTCTGATTGATCAGTGCTCAGCTCGCATAAGTTGTTAAAAATTTTAATATCCTTCCTGATTAAAGGAAACATATTTTGTTCTTATCAATCTCAGTTCCTATTTGTCCTATGACACCTATGTCTCAACTATTCCTGCTAGACATAGACTATAGTTTTTCACATGGTGTAGAGAGGCTACTCTTCTGCCAATGTTGGATGAAATTGTGATGGAAGGATAATTAGATAAAATAATAGTATTATCCACTTTAGGGCAAGAGTCTACTCTTCCCCTAAAAAAGAGTGAAGAAAAAGAGCCAGAAGTAGAGGAAATAAGCGATCAAGCCTAAGTAACCACCCCTTTCTGGAACAGACTCTCAGAAAGGGAAGGTATCTTAAGTAGGTTAAAATGAAAACTGAGAGCAGAGGAGACTTCTGCTCCACTCTGAACCTGAGAGGGGGCTGCTACACAAGGGAAGAAATAAGAACTGCGAAGGAGCCCAGAGCCCCGGAGCCTGTCAGCTGTGGCTGTGTCCTTGGTCTGACCAAGCCGAGGGCCTTAGAAGCCAGAGAAAAGGCTTAAGCTGGATTCCCTTTTCTTACTCCTCATCACTGCTATGTGTCATGGAAAACATGCAGAAGTTCCCACATATTCCATTAGGGAAACAGAAGGCAGCTGACTTGAGAATCGGCAGGCAAGAGAACAGTTCATCTTGCTATAAAGGCTGAGGAGTATACAGCCTTCCTTGGGGACTGGATGGAGAATATGGGTGTGCTCAGGGCCCTGTTCCAACCATGAGAGCCAGAGTGAGGCTGAGTTAGCCAGGGAGGATCAGCAGACCCTGAACAAGCCAAGAGAACAAGCAAAGTTTCAGTGGCCACATCTCAGAAGACACCACTGCCAGGAGCCCAGAAAGACCTGATCAGGGTCCTATAGCAGAGGCCAGTGGGAATCTTGAGGACAGTGTAGGATCCAAGGACCTTTACCTCATCACTCCGAAGTCACCCACAAGTTCCTCCCACCCCAAACCCAAACTCTATTGTGCAGGAGGAAAACCTAAATTCCAATTGTATCTCTCACACTTTCTCACCCATCTGAGTGGAAAATATAAAACCAGACGTTCTCTCTTCACCACCATGCCATCTGGCATTAGTCATCTTCCCTAGGGTTTTGCATAGCGGAAGTGTAGTATGATATGTCAGTTTCCCACCCTCATTTGCTTTTTAATTCAAAATTTGAATAAGTAGTAGAGACAAGAGAGCCCAGATGCACATAGGCACCTGGTGAAAGGTTTTGCAGCTGACTGTGTACACAATCGAAACCACATTTAGGAAACTGGTTTTCAAGATAGAATAAAAGGACCAAAGAGACAGACTGCACTCAAGGAAATGATTGAGTCTGTTGTTCACGTGAAACAGTTTGAGTTGGAAACTAAATGTTCCTGCTGGTGCTTGGGAATCTGGAACAGTTCCATAGATATGTTATGCCCACAGCAGGCAGAGGACAGACCAGCCCAAGATATTGCAAAGATTCCGAGACAGCTTCTTTCAGCCTCTTACTCTTTGTTTCATGGGGCTAAATGGCCTCTAAATGAATATAGAATATTGTATTCTGTATTTAGAGCAAAGAAGCATTAGGTACAATCAAACAATTAAATTCAATTTTATTTACTGAGAACCTTCTGTATAAAAGATATTGTGTTAGCAGCCTGGGAGGTAAAAAGATAAATCCTATTCCTAAAGAAGTTTTGCTTGAGTAAAGCACGTGATTAGAAAATAAGAGAGAGGAGCTTAGAAATCATCAGAGATTTTGTTTCTACAAAGATCATAGGATTCAGAAAGAGAGATTCTATACAGTTGAAAGGATCGAGAAAGATGTCAAGAAGTAAGTGATGTTTGTGGTGGATCTTTAAAAAATGAGTGTGATTCGAAGTACACAGGAGGGAGGAGAAAGTACTCTAAGTAGGGAGCTAGCCTGGCAAAGGTGTGGTGTAAGTTCTGAAGAAAAGGTGATCTAATTTGTTTTAACGTAGGATACCTGGAAGAGAGTCTCTGGTACTTAAGCCTGGAAAGGTAGGTAGAGGCTATACTATGAAAGATTTAAATATTAGATAGAGAAATTTTTATTTGATTTTGTTGAAAATGGCAAGACACTGATATCTAATTAGAGGGATGATGTGATTGGATGGTCATATGGGATCTTTGGATATACCCCCAATACAATTATAGTAACAGTTCCTAAGGCCTTCTGCTTTATACATAAACCATTTGCTTGGCCAAAAGAAGGGCCTCTATATACCCAGAAGTTTAGCCATAACTTCCGAACTCATTTTTTTCTCTCCTAGACTATACTCTCTTACATCCCCATGTACCTTCCTTCATTGCACTACTTGCAGTTTGTACACTTATTCGTGTTTTACGTGGTTAATGTATCTCCCAAATGAGATTATAAGCTCTGTAGAAGGAGGTGTGGTGTCTTTTAGGCCCTCGTGGTATTCATAATGCCTCACACAGTGCCTGGCCTATAGAAGACGCACCATGAATACTTTGAATGCAAGTTAGCATGCAGAAAAACATGAATGCGCAGTTGCAGAAAAGGCATGAGTGGATTAGTTAACAATAGCTTTGGGGCCTGTGTCTTTGCATCATTTGAACCATTGCTCTGCCCTTGGTTGTCTAATTCAACTAGACATTAGGCATGTTTGGAAACACTGGAAAGGGGAATTTCTTAGGAAACATAAACTGTAAACATTGACAAACTACAACAGGGGAACTTGTCTCACAGTAAATGCTGATCGGAGCCCAGTGCAGATGGATGTTCCTCCCGAGGCTGCTGTGGGTAACCTTTTGGTGAGCGCATCCCTTTCGGTGCCACTGTTTATCTGTACGAGTTCACTTCTTACATAGGCAGCACTGTCAAACGTCACCATCCCAACCCAGGACCCTTGCTCAACTGTCTGCAGCAGGAAAAGTCTGCCTGCTTGGTTCAGTCGTTTTAGGCGGTTATCACTCTGGAGAAGCAGAAGAAAAGCAGTCAAGTTGGGTTTAGTGGCAGACAATAACAGAATAAGCTAAAGGGAATTTGGAAGTGGTCACCTCAATGTGGAGAAAATGGCAACAAAGCTTACTCAAGGCATATCTTTCTATGGAGGAAATATTCCCCTTTCTAATTAGTAGCATTTTGGGGTAGAATTTTAGCACTTTTGTAAAAATAGCCTTAAAAGATAAAGCCAGATCAGGCTTTAGTTCAATCATTAGTTTAATGATTTAATAATAGTTTTATAGACCTATATATTGTCAGTGAAAACAAACGTTAAGGCTATGTAATTCATTAGATCTTTGTTCATAAATTGAGCTAATTTAATTTGGCAAATATAAGACACTTTATGCTGAATGTTTGTTGAATAAAGTAGCAGTAGGCATTTCTGATGGCAATGTTAGTGTTGCCATGTCTGACTCTCTGTGTTGTGTTTACTCCCAGGAGTTCCAAATTGTGGCCCAGATTATATTGTACACAAATGTGAGACCAGAATCCAGAAGACCAAGACTCATTGCACGTACCGTCATGCTTCCAGACTTATCAAGAACCAAGCACACAATTCTTTGTCCGATCTGCAGCAATGAGAAGGTGGGTTTAGGTGGCTGTGTCGTCATAGGAGTGGTTGTCTTAAAGTCTTCAGAATCGCGAATCACTTCCCATGTGCTTCGGAGATTGCATTTTTGGTTTTGCAGGTTTGGGGCTTCTTTATTGTGGTTTTTTTCTGTACAGAAGCTGACCACCTGAAATTGTCAATAAAATGATATAGATAACAGTAAACTAATGTTAAAAATCTTTAATGGTTTGATTAATTTACAATATTTTAATCTCTTGCTCTCTTCCCCAGCCTGCTTTACTAATCCATAATCTTGGCTCAATCCCATAATCAAACACTGCTAGAGAAAATCATAGTCGTAATTCAGAATTTCTATCTTAAATCACGTTTTCAACTTTGTTGGACCCATAGAGCTTCTCAGTAACCACTTACCTGCTTTTGGCTTCCTTCTTACTTCTCAAATTTGCAATTTTGAGCCATCACCACTATCTTCAAGACGCCCACATCTCAACATTTCTTTCCTGGTACCATCTCATCTCTCCATCCCATCTTTCACTTCCCACTCACTTCCTTACTTCCCATTCACTTATCAACACCTTACATTCCAACTTTCCACACCCAACATTCCAGGTTTCTCTAAAATCCACTCGGGTGTCCCACAGGCTCCTCAAACTTCACACGTTCAGAATTGAATTCATCACCTTTTCTCCAACTCTGCTCCTCCTCTTCACGTATTTCCTAAATTGATGTCACACTATTCACCCAGTCACCTAAATCAGGAAACTGGGAGTTTCCCTACCTTCTTCCCTCTATAAAATAACCAAGATCAATACATTTCACTGCCTCTCCAGTTCATCATCTTTTCTCTTTCTCTAGTGGAATCTTCATCACTCAAGCCTTCATGATCCCTACCTCAGGCTATTGCAGTTTTCTACCTGACTTTTTCATCTTGCTTCCCCTTCAGTTGGTCCATTCCACAACTAACTGCAAGAGGCATCTTCCTTCTTACACCTGTATTTAAGACCCTTTGGTCACTCTTCATTGCTTACATGCTGCAATCTGTACAACTTGTGGCAAATGGCAATCTACATGATTTGGATTTTTGCTTCGCTCTCCATCCTCACTCTGGCTGTGTATTCCAAGTCTCTGATTTTCCCCACTGTAGTCTTGCTTGACTGTTTTATTTCTCTGTGACTTTGCTCACGATTCCCATTTTGTCAAGAAGTTCCTCTTCCTCTGTTTTCTGCATTGTGAACTTTACCTTCATTTTTCAGCCAAAGGGTCATTTTCAAAATATTTTCTCATTTTCTACCCTTCCCTCAAAGAGCTTTCATTCAATCCCGTGGCCTCACGGTACCTTATAAAAATTTCAGTAAGGCCCCTTTAACATTGTAGTACACTCACTAAGCTGTCAATCCACCTATGCCAGAAACTTGTCTCAGTAAATTTTACTTCCTCACAACTTAGTCTAGTGTCTGACACATAATAAAAGCTCAATATGTTATTTTCGAGTAATCTTAATCAATCTGCACATCGGGTTTTTTTTTTAATCTACAAAACTCAAGAATTACATAAGAATATGTGCAGTAGGATAAATACTAACACAGCCAATAAGTGATAGTTTCTTCCCCTTTCTTAAGCATTTATATCCCTAGCATTTGGGGGTTTAAAAAAGAGGCACAGTATACAAAGCAGGTATAACCTAGTCCCTCCTCTCAATGACTTTCCAGTATTATCATTCAATTAAAAATCTTAAATATTTGGAATTTTAGTAATTTAGAAAATAGTCAGTTATAAAACATTTATTTTTCTCTTTGCATTTCTCAGGATGTTTTGATAGCGTCTCCATATTATCATTCTGGCTACTTTTTAGCAAGGGAATCTGAAAAAAATTTGTGTAAACAAATTTTCATTGTGCATAAAATTTAACTCTGTAATTAACTTAAAACATATATTCTGGGACCCCTCTTGGGAGTTTCTGAATAAGTCTGGAAATGGACTGCAAAGCCAGACTGAAGGATGGGCCTGGAACCAGGGTACACCACATTTTTAAAACTTGTGCCACATTGTTATTGACAGACTCTTGCAAGTTACTTCACCCTCTACTCAAAAAGGAAAACATAATTTACGTTGACGGGAAGATAAGAGGGACTCCACATTAACGTCAGTTAACTCATGCATTTAATCTTTGTGCAAATTTGCTGATATATATTTATATATAGCATTAATCAGGATAACTTGTCAAAGGTATCTTATGGCCAGTTGGTCATTTAAAAAACATTAAGAAATATTTAAAGCTATTAAAACTGTGTACAAACTCCATAAGGGAACCAACACTCTTAAAATGATAGAGAATTTCACCTAATGACCAAAGGCAAGTATACAGTCTGAAAAGAGATCTCTGAAAGTTAAATTAAAGATTACTAATCGTGTCCTTATTGACTAATTAAAGGAAGTGCCTGATCCTCCTGGATAAATTTCTTATTTAACTAAAAACTTTTGTGCTTGTCTGCCTTTAAAAACATTTGAAGTAATTCTAAGCACTTAAATTGTAAGCTAGTTGGAGGGAGATGGTGGAGAAGCAAGACTGGACTTAAAGATGGGGAAGGGAAAGATAAGACTTTATCCCTGATTTTGTTCTCCTAGCTTGTGCCGCAGAGAATCAGTTGCTCACTGATGAGTTCCTAAAATTTGATCCTCTCTTGCAGCATCTGGGGATAAAAAAATCTCATTAAATTCTTAAGTGTCAAGAAAAAAAAAAAGAAGGTACTTACAGAATTAATACTTTGTGAAAACATTATAGAAGCCTTCTCCATCTGCTCTTTATCAGGTATGAACTCACATTCTTTTCCATACAGCCCTGTTGTTCTGTTAGGTCTGCACGGTGTGGTAACACAGCTGCCTCCCTGACATTTATTTACTGCATTTTTACCAGTAATAGCTGCTGAACATCTGAAAATATATTAAAGTTAGATGTTTAGGTGATGTAATCATTTCAAGGCTTGGTCAGGTTCTACAGATGGCCTTGTTTGATTTCCTCTCACAATTCAAGAAACAAGTACATCCCCTTAAATAGCAAAATTATTAAGTTTTCATCAGAGTCATTTCTGTATGAAAGAAAATATTTGAGAGGTTCCCAAAATGGTATCGGAATTTGTTTCTATGCAGCAGAAAAGCTATGTCTGTCTTATGGCTACTGTTAGAATTAATAAGAATCAAAGTCCTGAGACACCTCCTAGTCTAGTCCCCTCATCCTTGGAAAATCAGGAGTCCTCTTTTGTTTTCCTTAAAAGGCTAACTGACATTTCCTGTTGTTGTTGTTGTTGTTTTTCCCTAATTAGTTCATCATACAGTTTTATATGTTTATAGGTATTTTAGATTTTTCTTTATATTATATGTATATGAGATTTGTTGCTACCATAAATGAAACGATTTTCTCCCACATCTTATTTTTTAGTATATAGATAATATATTAACACTAGAAAATTTAGGAAATATATAAAAAAAAAAAACTATGTCCCACAATTAGCAATAAACTATTGTTAACATGTTGAAGCATTTGCTTCTCTATGTATCAGCATAACATGGCACATATAGCTGTGCTTCATACTTTTAAATAATTCAGTATGTTAGTATAATTAAAATTTTAATATATTATTATAATTCATATAATTCTTTCAAAATATGATTTTAATAATTTAATGTTTGACACTATAATATAAATTTACTAAATTTATTTAATTTGATTTCCCTGCAACTCATCAGTAATAAAAATAAAACTTCAAGAATAAATAAAATTTCACATAAAATTTTGACTCAGTTTCCAATTTTCCTACATGATTGTTTTCTGGACTAAATGATCAATCACATCTAAAAGTCTGAATATTTTAAAGACTATTAATACAGCTTATTCTATCATTCCCCTTAAAATGAGTTTTTAAACCTGAAGTTACTGGACCAAGAAATACAAAATATTTTAGAGATTTGATATATGTGTCACCAAATTGCTTTTCAGAAAAGTTGGACCAATTTATGCTTCTAACAACCCGCTGTGGGAGCTTTCATCCCACTGACAGTAATTTAGTAGGTAATAAATGATTCTCATCTGTGTCAATTTGCACGTTTTTGATTACCAGTGTCTAAACATTTTTATATGTTTATTGGCTGCTTTTATTTCTTCTTTTCTGAATTATTTATTCTTCTCTCATGTATATTTCTTTATTATGATATTATTGTTTTTCTACTGGTTTTCAAAAGTTTTTCATGTTTTATAATACTAAGCTTTAAAAAGCCTGTTTTTAACAATTTTTGCAAATATCTTTTTCTGTTTTTTACCTTTTTACTTAGTTTATGTTTGATTTGTGTGCAACAAAATTTTTAATTAATATGTAGCCAAATGTATTATTCTTTGGTTACATCAATTTCCAATTCTTGAATGCATAGAAAGACCTTCATTATATAGAAGTGCGATATTTATTAATATTGTTTTAGTTGTCATTATGGTTTTGATTTTTAGATTTAGTGAGTCTATCCATTTGGAAGAGAATCTGTTAATGTTTTCCCCCTCACAGCTAAAAATTGTCCTGATATTTAAGAGATCCTTCTTTTCCTCATAGATCTGTAATCAGAGAGAGGGATAGAGATATAGAGATATCTATAGATTCATATATAGATATAGATATATATCTATCTGTTGGTTAACATAGTTTTAAATAGTTTTATTGTATATTTAGATTGCAATAAGTAAAAATCTTCTTTATTACTATTCTTTTTTAAAAAATGTTCTTAGCTACTATCTACTGAATAAATTCTGGGATTTTAAATATGAGGTAAAAATGAATGGTCTTTTGACTAGTTTCATAAAACTTATATATTCATTTGGGTTGCATTTACATCTTTCATGAATTGAAAATCTCACAATTTATTTTGCTTTTCCTTTACATCCTTTAGAAGGATTTTATAGTTTTCTTCAAATATGACTTTCATATTTCTTAGATTGTTATACTTCATTATACCTTTATTTATTATCTTGAATGGAGTATTCTTTCAATTATATTTTTGAACTAGTTATTGGTAATATAGAGGAAAGAAATTTGAATATTCATTTTGTATCTAGTCACCTTATTGACCTCCCTTGTCAATTTTCTATTTATTTCCTTGGGTTTTCTAAGTGGACCACGTATCATCTGCATAAAAGCAATTTTCTTTCTTCCTTTCCAGTAGCTGCTTTTTTTTTTTTTTTTTTTGGTTTTACATCCCCAGTTTCATATGTTATTGCATTGGGTACAACTTTCTAAACAATGTTAGATAATTGTGCTGATTATAGCCATCTTTGTGTTATTCCTGTTAATGTCTCTATTTCTTTATTAAATACGAGATAGGCTGTCGGCTTTCAAGTAAAGTTCTGTATCATATTAAGGAAGTAACCTTCTATTGTGGGCAGTACTGTCATTTTTATGATTGCTTCTAGGCCTTAAAAATAATTTAAAAAACTGGAAGATAAGAAGCAATAAATACTATTAATATGTTACAATAAAATTTCTCTTTAAGAGACATAGTAATTATGCCAACTTTGCTAATATTATCGGTGGAAGAACATGATGTATACATAGATATTTCTAGACTATCTCTAGAAAGGGATATGTATTAATCAGCTTTTCTCTTGAGAGAATATACAGTCTCTAACTATATGGTAGCTTAGAAAAGAGAAGTGGGAAAGATAAATGTCAGGTTCAGAGTGGCATCCATTGGCTGAGATTTGAAAGGTCAGTTTAACGTATGATCACATCAGGGAAGTGACCCTGCTGTGGACTTTGTAATGCATCAAGAACAAGCCAAAGGGATCTGGTACACTATGCATGGCTCTAGAAGGTACATAGTGTCTATGCCTGAAATGATATAATAATGAGGAAAAATATAATGAAAGTGAACCAAATTGACAGAGTTTGAATGTAGTGAAGAAAGAAAGCAGTGGAGAGCAGTAATGTTCCTGTGGGAAAGTGGGAAGCCAAGGCTGAGCTCTGAGCCCAGTGCGACTCCCCTTAAAAACAAGTACCAAATGAAGATGGTAACCACACATCTCCTTAAAGAAGCAAAAGTGGAGAGGGGCGTTGTCCCAACTTCTAGTCTTTAAAAAGAGATTGTTTTTTAACTCAGGCATAAACATGCAAAGTTATCAAATTCTTTTTGAGAATCTATTGGAATAGTCATTTATTTTTCTTCTTTACTCAATATACTATATTAATTACTTACCTAACACCACAGAATTTTCAGATTTCTGGAAGACATCCTACTTGGCACCGGTGTGTTTGTTATTCCTTTAATTCTGCCAGATGTCATTTACCGTTCTCTTATTCAAAATCTGTATGGAAAGCTGTATCTACAGAATTTTTTTTCATGCCATCTGTCAGGTTTTAGTATCTGAGTTGTGCTAGCTTTTTAAAATAAATTGGAAAGTTTCCTATCTTTTATGTTTGTACTAAGGCAGTTTATGTTCACTGAAACTGTTGGTTGCAAGAACTTCCCCATAAAATAATGGCAGCCAAGAGTACTTTCCAAGTGTTCAGTTTGCTTTCTACTGACGCCATACAGGGTTTAATTCAAATTGAGAGAAGTTTTTTGTTTTAATATTTGGATTGTTTTTCAGGTAAGTTCCACAATCCCTCCCAGGCCATGCATTCTGACAAAGTCCACACAGATATCAATATGCCCTCAAGGCACTGAAGAGCCACTATTAGCTTTGTTTATGTCACTGATTCTGATACAGAAAGATGGAGTCACTGAACATAGCACCTGTGAGTTTTTTTTATAGTCATACACACAAAGAGGCAAATGATTTGTAGCTGCAGAGTAGGGAATTCAGCTAATTGAAGTACTTGCAAACTGAACAAAAGTGGTAGTTTTGTGGAAATCTGAAACAGGAGGCACTATGAATGAGAATAGAGAATAAGATGGAAGACTGACATTTTTAAAGTAATCAAGAAAAAGTTGGTTGTGTTTTAAAATAGTTTGAGAAAAGTTGTCAAAACACCCATACCTTACTGCTTTGTTTTTCCCATTAGATAAGTAGAATTTCTGGTCATTATTGTATTCATTAAAGACTCCCCATCGTAGATGAGCCCATTCATGGACAAATGCCCTTCCTGCAAGAAAATAGTTTAAACACCTGATTACAATAAGAATGGTAAAATTACCTCGGCACACTGAGAGAAAGTAATTCTTCTGAACTTTTATTATGCTTTCTATGTTAACTCTTTAGAGTTTTGATTTCCTTAGAAAGGAAAAATCTAACATGACAAATGTGCATTTCTGAAAAATATGACTACTTTTTTTAGCTCACCTGATGCTAACGAGGTACCTAGTAAATACCAGAAAGTTATTCATATTCAAAGATGAAACAATTGCCCTGTCCTCACATAGCTAGCTCATGGTCTAATGGATGACACACACCATCAGATAACTAAAATCCTTAGCAGTGCTGGTGTAATGACGGAGGTCAGCACACACTGCTATGGGAGTTGGAGGCATCGATAGGGCAGCCAGGGCAGCATCCCCAATAGAACCTTCTCCTTTATGGCTCATTTCTGATTAAACTTCAAGGCCTGCCGACTCCACCTCTGCTCTTTGGCTCTGATCTATTCTCATCTTTCCAGTCTTATTACCACTTACTCTTGAATTGCTGCAATACCCACCCAACTGCCTGCCTTGTTTCCAGTCTTCAATGGCTCCACTATGGTGTTTCAGGGTTAAGTGTGGCTCCTTAACATGGTATATAAGGTCCCTGATGATTCATGCTCTGCTTCTCTCTGCAGCCATATTTCTTGCTGTTCTTTGCCTACTTCCAAAACTCTATAATCACAATGAATTTTTGAACTCCTTTTACTTTCTAGAGTCACACCGTATTCTTTCTCATCTCCGGTCCTTTTCATATATAATTTTTTCTGCTTGGAATACTCTCTATCTATATCTGCCTGGATAAATGCTACTCTTCTTTCAAAATCAAGCTTATATCCACCTAGAAGCCCTGCCCAGACTAGGCCAGGTACCCCTCCTTTACAATATCATTATATTGCATAACTTATCATGTTATATTATCATTGCTGCTTACTTGCTAGTCTCTCACACTTGTCTCCATGAGGACAGGCACCAGGACTTCTTCATTGTCATGTCTGGGCACATAGTGTCTAGAACTTAATAGGCACTCAGTGAGTGTTAAATTTGGATGAATTAGTGACTAAGGTACAACTCAGTTTTTCTGGAATGTAAATTCCTAGGTAGACTGAATTTGGAGGGTTAGGTGAAAGGTTGCATACTGAAGAAGCTCTAGTATCTCACACTAAGGAATTTAGACTTTATTCTGTAAGTGCTAGGGAATAGTCGATGGGCTCCTAAAAGAAAGGGAAGGTTGTGAGGGAGCAGGAGTGGAGTCATAGTACATAAAGGAGAGATTATATAGGAATGACATGTGGTGACTATGATGGCTGGAGTGGGCTCAGGAGTGACATGGGGCAGTTAGGTAAATTAGTTCGACACATTAATTGAGCCATACATTGGGAATTTTCAGTTCCTGTTATGGAGGTGAAATGGAGTGCTAGAGAAAAACAAAGAGGTATGTTTGACGCCTCTTTCTGATAAGGTCCATAAGTACTCTGGTGTAGTTGGTGGTGGTGCATGGAGGCACAAGGGCTCCATGTGTTTGTTTCCTCTGCTTTGCCTATTTAAATGAAGAAAATCTAGGTGGTTCTAATCTTTTTGAGATAATAAAGAAACCTAATACTAGTTATTAGTTAACTTAATTAATTAATACTAATCCCATTTGATTATACTTGGAAAGTACATACTATATATACTACATTGCTTATTTATTTTAATATTTTCTCCAAAGATTGCTCTATATAGCTCATATGTGAATGACAAAGAGTTTATTTTGTGAAGAAAAAATTGGACTTTTTCTTTACAGGTTTTTGAGAGCTGAACTGCAAGGATATTCTGTCTGCTGCTCAAAGTGTGGCCACGGTGAAGCAGTATCGGCATCACCTGGGAGCCTGTTAAAACGCAGATTCTTGAGTCCCAACCCACATCGACTTAATCATCATCTGCATTTTAACAATCTCATTTACTATTTGAATGTGCATCAAAGTCTAAGAGCACTTTGAGTCTCACCATTTGGTTGCTACTAAGAGAATTGCAGGCAGGAAGTCTAATTTGTTCAGGTTTCTCCCCACAGATCCATACAAACCTAACAGTACTATGATAAACAGTTATTTCCTGATAGTAATGATTTCTAAAAATTAAAAATACTATTTTTACACATGTATGCAGAACATGAAGGAGTTAAGTTTCCAACTGAGAAATGTATTGTTCTGAATCCCTTTTTAAGTGAAAGTACATGCTGTAATAGTTTATTTGGCTTAAATGTGCTCACTCAGAAAGATAATGTTCTTTTGATATGCTTTTAATATGAAATTATTAAAATACGAGAAACAGCATAATATTTAATCTCTATACATACCTTGTGGTCCATATTGAGGCAACTTTTTTCCTGCTATAAAGTCAGGAGTGAAATGAATCCTTTCACCTTTTTCTCCACAATTTCCCATCTGTTCAGTATAGGGTTCATCATTACCTGGAGGATTAGATTCAGCAACTAGAACATCAGCCTGAAATTTAAGAAAAAAATTTGATCATTACAAAATTTCAGCAAGTGAATCAACCTTATTCACACTGGAGTATTTTGAAACAATTTCACTTGGTTCTAGAATATTTTGATGAAAAAAATCTAAATCACAGAAGAAAAGTGAATTTGAAAAAAGAACTTGATATTCTCACATTTTTGAAGGTCTCAAGTTTTGGTCTCACATATTCAGGTTTTGTCTTCCATGTTTCAGGAATCAAAATGGCAACATTTTTAAAATAGAATCTTTTTTCTGTAGCTTCAAACAGATATGGAGATGCCTGAGTCACCATGTCCTGAGAAAAAAGAAAACATACAGAGCAAGCACAATTATGACTGAATATAGATAAAGTTACCGATCATTCAAATTTACATCTATATTTCACATTAGAAAAAAACTAATTAATAAAGACCTATTATTTCTCAAGATTAGAAGAGGACATGTGGAAATACTTTTATTAATAATAATAGCTAACCTTTTTTGAGCCCTAATCACCTGCTCTGTGCCACAGTGTAATTGTTGACATTGCACACTCCAGAGGCTGACACTAATCCTGGCTCCATCACTTCTTTTGGGACATCGGGCAATTTCCTTTAGCCTTCCTGAGTCTCGGTTACCCCATTTATAAAATGGAAAATATTACAGCAGCTAGATCATAAGATTGTTGTGAGGATTGAATGAAGTCAAGAAACACTTGAAACCATGTTTACTTAGCAGAAATGCTTATGAAATGTTAGCTGTTAGTTTTATCTCATTTGATCCTTTGAGGACCAATAAACCTTTAAGGGAGAAACTGAAAATCAGAGAGTATAAATCTCAGTGTCTCACACTGAGTACTGGGAGAGAAACTCAAATTAAAATGAATATAACTTCGACATCTACTGATTCCTGTAATAATTTGGGGGCTAACTAAATGTTATTATAGTATTTATTTTTAGTATGGTACAAGTGTCAGATATAAAGAAGTAGCATGATTATATAATTTCTTTTCAAATTATACCTAACTGTGTTTCTCTATAATGAAAGAGCCACAGTGTTAAATTATAAGTGCTTCTGCAGATTACCTGAGATACATTATGACAAGATAGTAGAGAGGGTATTAAAAGAGATTTATTATTGAAAATGCATTGGGTCTACCAAGACTGAAAATCACTCACCACAAAAGCAAGTGTAGACAGAAGAAAGATGAGGGCTAAAGACTGACCCCAGAGAGCCACCAGGATTTAGAGATGGGAAGAGGAGAAATCAGCAAAGGAGACTCATCAGATGCAGCTGGTGCACAGGGAGGACATCAAAAGGCACGTGGTGAGGATGTTTCAGGAAGGAGTGATCATAGGTGTTCGACACTGCTGAGCAATCGAGGAGTGTGAGGATTAAGAACTGACCAAGTATTTGGCAACCTGGGTGAGCCATTTTAGTGGAATGGAGCCAAAAACTCCATATGAGTAATTCCAACTCATTGAAATTGAAAGCGGGAGGTGAGGAAGTAGAGGCAGTGAATAAAGACAACAGTTAGGTTTTTCTATAAATTAAAGGGGAATGGAGAAGTGAAGCAGTAGCTAAAGGAGGACTTCAGGGGAAGGGAGTTTTATTTTGTGTGCATGTTTTTTAAATGGGAACTATTATAGCATATGTATATGCTAATGGGGGAAAAAAAACGATAATGCAAGAGAAAAAAGGGATAATTGCATGAGGAAAGTTTTTCTGGGAGCAGACCAGACTACTTAGACTCCACTGCCTAGTGGGGTTGGCCTGAGGAGCGTAACCAGTTCATCGCTATATAGAGAAGCTGTACTCGGGTCATTGATACAAGGGTGAATCTCCCTTTGCTACTTCCTAATGGAAAAAACTTGGAGAATTTATTTTATTTCTCTGAGCCTCAGTTTCCCATCTATCAAATAGTAATAATAACGGCTGTCTTACTAGTTTTAAAAAGTTCTTGTAATGATTTGCATTTCCGTCTTCCAGAAAAGCCAGGTTTTTATTAATCCCTAGGAGATTTAACATTACATCATTTAAAAAAAAACACTGAGTCAAAGTCATCAAAAAGTTGAAAATTAGTCATAAAACTTTCTGTGTTATTTTATTACTATTCGACTTGTGAAATGTGAATTTTCAGTGTCTCTCAGGAAGAATATTAAGCAGTATGAAATACTTGTCTTCTGTGTTTTTTTTTTTTAATTTTATTATTACTTTCAAGTATACAGTACATTGGTTAGACATTTATATAATTTATGAAACAATCCCTCTGATTGCTCTGTCTCTCCTCTGGCTCTCCACCTAGCCATTACATTAATGCTGACTGCATTCCCTATGCCATGCTCTCCATCTTCATGACCCTCCATCAACTACTAATTTGTACTTATTTAACCCTTCACCACTTTCTCCCAGCTTGCCAACCCCCCCCCTTGTCTTTCATGGTTTAATAGAAACATTAATAAGGGATCTTCATTTTAGAATCTGTTCCTGATTTTGAGACGGTAACCTCATATCCAAATAGTCATTTAAACTTTTGAGGCTTAGAGAAGTTGAGGATGACAGCTTATAGGGCTGGCTGGAAATTTCTTAATGACAGGGATGATATATTGTTCAGCACTGGATTCTTGGTACCTGATATAATGCAGATGCTCTGTAAATATTTGTTGGCTGAATGAACAAATGAATGAATGAATGAATGAAGTAGCAAGCTATCCAGAAGTACCAAGACAGGTAGTTTCCATCCACTGAGGAGACCCCTAGCAGTACTCCCACTGAATATCGTGTGTGTGTGTGTGTGTGTGTGTGTGTGTGTGTGTGTGAGCGAGAAAGACACAGAGAGAGAGAGACAGAGAGCAGAGAGGGAGAGAGGGAGAGAGGGAGATTAAAGAGTTTCATCCTGACTCTCACTCCCTCATTTTATGAAATGAGCTCTCAGGGCTTCTACAAGTAGCATAAGAGCAGGCGCAGGGGATGCGACTGCCGCAGCGCCATCTGCTGGAGAAACATTGGGGGCTGTCCTGCAGAACCAAGAATTTAAAAGCTGACTTAGAGGCGTCCATCCCCACAAGGGCACCAGAGGGAGTCTCCCTTCAAAAGCAGAGTGAGGAATGGCGGGAAAGGCTGAAAAGCCCACTGTAAGATCCTTCAGTTCTGCATTAAGAGGGAGGAACTCACTTTTGTTAGCTACTCCGTTAGAGACTCTGAGCACACTGTTGCCCTTAACTCTAAGAGAAGGAAATGTGGAAACCAACTTATCTCACACCCAACTCATTTAGGACTCATATTATAAAGCCAATTTAATAATTGTTGTAAGAAGTACATTTCTCAGGAGGAAAACCCCCAAAGAGAGAGGTGAAAGCACTCTGAAATCTCTAAAGCACCATATAAATATGAATTACTATTGCCATCAGAGATAAAGAATTTATGCTCTCTTCTTAGCACTGTTCTTAACCCCACTGACTGTCTAGCCAGAGATAGAAACATGTTGGCCACGTTGTTCTCCCACACTTTCCGTGTCTGTTATTCCAAGTGGCTCCTTCATTTTTGCTTAGGCCATTTCTAAGTTTAGAAGCAATCAAAACCTCACTCCAGTTTTAACTGTTGAGAGTTTTCAGAAGATATGAATTTTCCTTTCATCAATGGCAATAATATCTGATAGTCTTCCAGTTAAACAAGTAAGCTTCCCCTCTTGCCTCAACTACTCAAGTCTCTAACCCCAAACTCCTCTTGGTGGTAGAGATGGTTCTTTCTCCAAATTTCATCTTTCTGGCTTTGTTTCTGCTCAAAACAAGGATCATTTGGTGGCAACCCTTGGGGCCCTTGCACTATTAACTTTTGAGCTCACATTCCGGAACTTTGCCCAGAATCAAGCCTCAGAAACAGTCTGTTTGGCTTGATTAAGAAAAATGAACCCTTTCCATCAAGAAGAATTAAAAGGGGGACTGGTGACTGATGGTTATACTTACTATTTATTGAGCTTTTACTATGTACCAGCCACTATGCATGCATTTTTGAAGTTTTTTTTAAATCTTTCAAGATAATTTTAAAGAACATGCAAAAATGTACAGTCCCCATATACCCTTCACTAAGCTTCCCTTATATGCATGCATTGTTAAATTTAATCCTCACAAAATTCCATGAGGAAGGTACTTATTATTATCCCCATTTTACAGACCGGTATTTTCCTCATTACACATTACTGCCTCTGCTTGTGCTATAGCCAGATTCCAAGTTGATCATTCATAAGCCATTTTCCTCTTATTCTTATTTTTTGCTGTTGTGCACAACCTCTCTAATCCCTCCACCTTACAACAGGTAGACACCTCTGCCCAGAACAAGAAGCATCTTCTTTCCTAGTTTTTCCTTCCCCCACAGAAGTAACAAGTAAGGTGAGGCCACTCAGCAACCTGAGAGAGTCCTCTGCACTAGGGCTGATAAAATGCAGTTTCCTCTCATTAAAAGGGTCAGGATTGTTCTTAAGTCAGAGATTTGCATCCTGGGTTCCTATGTTAGGATCATAGAGAAGGGGGTTACAATTAGAATAAAAAGAGAATCTGATATGAACCAATAGTAAAATCAGGCAAAATCCTTTTTGCATTTTACAGTATCTGTTGATTGCAGCTGGCTTTGACTTAGTACAGAACTGAATAATTTTAAATGAAATCATCCACTCTATCAATAAATGTAGACATCATTTATTAAGCACCAACAATGTATGAAACTCTTAGTTATGTGCATTGCATTTATTATCTTCTCTCTCAGAAGAGTTCTAATGGTTAAGTGTTATGAGTTCTATTTTACAGCTGAAGAAACTGAGACTTAGACATAAAAAAATAACTTGCTAGTATCACGCAGCTGGAGTTAGAGAACTCACATTCACTCTATTACATTACACTCAATATTTTTTAAAGAAGCATGGCTTTTTTAAAACTTACCTTTATTTGTTGAATGAGTGTTTCGTCTTCTGGCACATTAGGGTCAATTGCAATGACAATGCCTTCATAGCCATTATTATTCAGCTGAATGAGTGAATTGCTCAGGGACCCTTCCAGAAGGTGAAGGACCAAGATGAAAACAGAACTCTTAAATGAGCCCATCTTTGTACATCTCCCTTTGATTATTCTCTTGAAAAATGTTGGTTTTAGAAGCATCTTTCTTTACCCTACTATATATAGACACACATTTTTCCAAGTTATCAGAAGTGGTTTATCACAGAACTTTAACCCATGACCCCAAATTGTTTCGCTATTGCATTTGTCTCCAATATGAGGAACTGTAACAATGCCTTAGTCTTAAGTTCTGTGTACTTTTAAATGTTTTATCTGAAAGGATCATTAGCCTTATCTTCACCTATGCCAGATGCTGTCAAAGAGGGTGGGGCGCCCACCTTCATTTCTCTGGAAGAACTCACAGGTGACAAGCAGCTTGACCATTGAAAGATGTTTACTTCCTACAAATGTTTGCCTAGCTAGGTATACTGGCCCACCCAACACAACCCTCCACACCCTGCCTTTCCCAGTGGAGGCCTGGCTGTTCTGTGTATTCAATAAGTATATTCATTAAGTGTAAACAATATATACAGTTATCTCTCATGGTGGTCACTATTTTTATCCTCATCGATCTTGACATAACCTCCATACTTCTTGGTGCTCCCTTAGACAATCCACTTGTACAAAAAGCATTAGCAAGCAGCATAGATATTATTGAATATTTTATACTGGAGAGAAAAGGTAAAAATTTATATCTCACTGTGCAAAGCAAACCTCTTCAAGTTTCCTCATCAGACTTCTGTTTCTCTTTTCCATAGCTCCTATTGCTCAATAAAATTCAAATTAACAACATTATATTACTTTAGTGAAATTAAATATCTCTAAGAACATGAATTATGGACTGCCAGCTACTGAATAGACACTTTTAAGTTTGCCAAACCTCAGATGAAAACTCGAATTGGTCCACCACTTTCCTTTATTCAAATTACTTGAAATATCCCTTTATCTCATGACTTCATTTGATCTTCATGTGGTGGTGAACATCAGTTTCATCTTTTCTGTCCCTTTTCTTTGACCTTGGCTCATAAAAATTAAATTAGTACTAACTGCTAATAACTAGTACTTATTGCTTACGTATATAATGTTTAAGCAATCAGAAGTGAAGCATTTGAAATAGAGCGGAAAGTACTCAGTTATAAAGTGGTTGTCCAGATGATCCAATAATTTATATAAAAATAATTTATTTAATGCTTATTGAATAAATGTATGCATTTATTATACATATGACATAAAAATTTTAGGTTCTAAAATATCTCAACCCCCCAACTATGTGTCTTTCCTGGGTTCCCTAGAAAACAGAGCTAAGGCAAGCCTATGTGCTATTGATTTGAGAGTTTAATCTCAGAGCAGTGAGAATAACAGAAATGGGAAATGAGTTAGGGAAAGCTGAGAAGCAATGAAAGGTCAAGTGTTGCTACCGTGGCTATTGTGGTACAATGAGGAGACTCAGCAGGTCAGCAGGTCAGCAGGTCACCCTGCTGGTGCACCTGCCCTGCCATCTGGGATGTCTCCTAACAGGCTATACAAAGAAAACATGCTTTAGAACAGTCCATTTGAGGGAGAAAGGGAAAGTGTTTTGCTACTTTTCATCTCCTGCAGGTGGTCAACTCTCTTGAACTTCCTGGCTGTGTCAACCAGCCCCTTCAACAGCTCTTGAAAAGAGAGATTCTATGCGTTGTGGTATAGGAGAAGCCAAGGATTTCAAGTGGTACCTTGCTGGCGTCTGGCAGTGGAACCACTCAGGCCTCACAAAGATTAGATGACTGAGAGGGAGCAAATTACTGAGGGCTCCAGATTAAATGGAGTCAAGAAACTTAGGGTAGTTCAATAAGATGAGTCCAATACAACTAACTGCTTGAACTGCTCAAATCCCACTCATGTCCTTTCATCATATCTAGCTACAATATTATATACTTTGCATTTTATTCTGAGCACAAGCTGTCTCACTTTTTCCCTGAAAGTACAGATCCAGTCTTCATAGAATCTCCTTCAAAGTGGCATAATCTCCTAAAATACCTAAAACAAAAGAGTTATTGAAATAAATTGTAGTGCTTTTATAGATAACAGATAATTTATTGAATGATCTCCCACTAAATTACAATTGTGCTTTTGTTGTGAATGAGGTTCCTACAAATGTTCAGGTCTGTTTTTGGACTCTATTCTGTTCTACTGTCTATGTGACAATCTTTACCTCAATATTATATTGTCTTGATTACTGCTGCTTTGTTAAATCTCGATATCTGGTAGTGTAAACACTTTAGTTTTTCTTCAAAATAATTTTGGCAAATTTAGATTCTCATTTCAATATAAAATTTAGAATTAGCTCATAAATTTCACCAAAAAAAAAATCTGCTACATAGATTTGGATACAATTTCATTGAATTAGTTTGGGGAGAATTGGCATCTTGATAATATTGAGTCTTTCAATCTATGGACATGGAGTATCTCTTCATTTTATTTAAATGCTCTCAATTATGTTTTATAGTTTTCAAGGTGGAGGCCTTGTACATCTTTCATTAGATTTATTTCTGGGTTTTTGTGGTTTTTTGGTGTTGTTATAAATGGTGTTTTTATAAAATTTTATTTTCTAATTGGTTACTGCTAGTATATAGAAATATAATAGAGTTTTATGTATTGACCTCATAATTAGTAAGCTTGCTAAATTTACTTATTTCTAGTGCATACTTTTTCTTGGATTTTATGTTTTTAATCATGTAATGTGTGAGAAATAATATGCTTACTTCTTTCTTTCCAATCGTACAACTTCTATTTTATTTTCTTATTACACTAGCTCTCACCACCTGAAATTTTTGAATGCAGGTGGAGAGGATCATATCTTTTTTCTTGTTTTCAGTCCCAGATTGAAAAGCATTCTATATTTTACTATTAAATATGCTATTATCTAGAGATGTTTTATAGATATCATTATCAGATTAAGAAAGTCTTCTTCTATTCCTAGTTTGCTAAGAGGTTTTTTTTTTTAGAGCATAAATAGGTGTTGAATTTTATTAAATGCTTTTTATGCATCCATTGACGTTATCATGTGAATTTTCTTTTTTGTTCTAGTAATGCGGTGACTTATTTTACGAAATCAACCTTTCATTCCTAGAATAAATCCTATTTCATCATGATGTGATATCTTTTTCAATTTACTAATGTTTTGTTTAGGATTTTTGCACCTATGTTCATGGGAGAGATTTTTCTTACTTTTCCTTTCTTGTAATGTCCTTGCCAGGTGTTAATACCAAGGCTGTCTGACCTCATAAAATAAGTTAGGAAGTCTTTCCTCTTTTTCTATTCTCTGGAACAGTTTGTTTAAAACTGATATTATTTCTTCCTTAAATTTCCTTTCTGACTATTGCTTTAGCTTCCTCGTATAAGTTTTGATATGCCATATATTAATTATCATTTAATTCCAAATATTTTCTAACTTCCCTCTTGAGTTCTTTTTTTCAGCATATGGGCTTACAGAAGTGTTTTGCTTTTGGAGATTCTCTTGTTAATCTATTATTGATTTCCAGTTTAATTCAAAGGTAGTCAGAAAACACACTCTAAGATTTAGATCCTTTGAAACTTGAGACTTGCTTTTTGCCTCAGTTTATGGGTCTACTTTGGTAAAATTTTCCATGTGCTTTTGAGAAAAAAATGTATATTCTGTAGTTGATGAGTATAGTGTTCTATATAAGTTAAGCCAAGTTGTTTAGTTATGTGATTCAAATCTCTATTTTTACCATTTCTTGTCTGCTTCTTCTTTTATTTACTGAGAGAGCTGTGTTTACTTCTACAATTATGTTTGTGAATTTTTCTATTTCTTTTTTTTAGTTCTATCAACTCTTGCTTTATATATTTAATGCTATGTTTTTGGTGCACGCAAATTTAGGATTGTTATATAATTATCATTACAAAAATGTCTTTTCTATCTCTAATAGGATCACTTGCATCAAATCTACTTTTTAGGATTTGGTAACTATGGTAAACTGGTTTTTTTAAAGATTGAAAAATTAAAACGAAACAAAAAAATACAACACAGCTAACACAACGCCCGGCACATAGAATTTATTAAGTAAACAAAATATCTTTACATTTCTCCTTCCCTCCCACTTACACAAACCTTCGTCTTGGAGGGAGAGATAGAAGAGGTGTTAACAAGATGGAGAAAGCTGGGGCTTTACACTAAATGGCATCAAGTAAGAATGACCAAAGAATATTTTAAGGACATTGATGTTTAAGAATCAATTTTAAGCTGTTTGCTATGCAGTACTTCAGTATGACTCCTGCTTTTAACCTCAATTCATGACTTCCTTTAGCAATGGTAATAAGGCTATGAGGAAACAAGTATTTATATATTATTGATGAGAGAAAAATTGATACAAATATTTTAGAGAGAAATATTCATCAAAATTTAAAGGTGAGCATCTTTTAACATAGCAATTCCACTTTTAGGAATTTACCCTACAGATATACTCGCACAGGTGTGCAAAATTACGTACATGAGGAACAAACTCACACAGATATATATGATTATATGTACAAGGGTATTATAATTTGTCCCTCAAAGCCTACTTTGTAATAGCAAGAAACTGAATTACCCAAATGTCTATTAATAAAGAAATAAATAAGCTTATTTATTTAATATCTATTTTATATGTCACATCTTACTTAAACATTTGTACTTTTTATAATAGTATTACTTTTGTAATTGAAATAAATTTATACATAAAAATAAAAATATTAGACTAAAGACTATCAATTTGAAATCCTAACATATTATCATAAGAGTGGTAGTCCTGTCTTCTCTACTCTTAATTTCTATTCTTTCTTTTTTTTTTTTACTTTACTTTTTCATTTCACTCTCTTTTTTCGCTTTTATCTTCTTCAGACTTTTGCTTCTTCTTTCCTATATTGGGGTGAAGTAAGGTCATGTCAATTTTAAGAAAGGTTTCTTTTGGATGTTTGTTCATTTGTATTGCTTCGGTTCTGCAGAGCCAGGGAGGTAAAAAGCAATTGCCCACTGTACTGGGTAGCTTCCTCCTTCTTGTTCCCTTGAG